ATTGTTTTTAAATTCTGGAATAAAAGCGCGTTTTAACGCTCAACAACGGGAGTTTTCGTCGTTTTCACGTTCTGAAAGTGAAAATTTTGCGCAAAAAACGCGTTTCTTGCGTTTTTTTAATGAGCGTTACTGGCTCACAATCGCGGTTCCCTTTTGAGCGTTTAAACGCGTTTTTCCAAATGTTTGTCTGCTTGGGTAGAGGAATAAATTATCTATTGTATTTTTACTCAGAAATTATTCTAATAAAAGCGTTAACATAGCATTAAGAACTTTTAAAAATTGTAGCTCTTACAGTCAAATATTAACGTTTGTATTTTTATCACATGTTGTTTATTTCTCTAGGTAATCGTGATTCGACTGTTCAAACGTGCGCTTTCTGTACATGTCCACTTACTGCCGATGGTCATAAAGTATGTTGGAATTCGACACAATGTCAAATTCAATGTACAAAAGAATGTCAAACAAATTGTTTATATGAATCATTAACAGATAAGAAATGTTGTCATACATCGTGTGCTGGTGGTTGTATAAATAATTCTATTTTTCAATGTAATGCATGTGAAAAATTACGAATTTATTCAACTGGTGAATGTGTACAAACATGTCCATACAATTATTATCTGGTAAGTAGTGTAAAATTAATAGTATACAGAATAGAATAGATAATAAATTAGATTTATTATTAAGGTTAAAGATACATTTTGTGTCACATATGCAGAATGTTTATCATCTGAATTTTCTCATGGTCAATATATTTTGAATTCAAATTGTGTTGATGATTGTCCTCATGGTTATAAAGTCTCACATGATCATGCCCAATGTATTCCATGTGAATCAACAAAATCAAATAATTATTGTAATGGAACATGTGCCGAAAAACATATTCGACTTATCACAGATTTTCAACAATTAAAATATTGTCATCGTATACAAACATTAAATATCTATGAGATTAGTGTAGCATCCGGTGGAGATGGAACAAGTGCACAACAATTACAAAGTGTTAATGAAGCATTAGGTAAAAAAATTTTATCAAATTAAATTTATTTTTTATTATTTAAATTTATTTTCTATAATTTAGATAATTTAAAATCAATTGAATATATTGAAAATGAGTTTACTCTACATAATGTAAATATTCTTACTACTCTAGACGTATTTTTAAATTTAAAACAAATTGGAACTAGTGTCAATTCTACAATAACCATAGCGGAAAATGATCATTTAGCAGCCTTGTGGACAAAACAACAACCTGAACTTCAAGGAACATTGAATATAATTCGAAACGCAAGATTATGTCAAAAACATATTATTAAACTCATTAATCATACAAGTAAGAAGCATACTATAAATCTGAACACCAGTTAAAAATAGTTGTTAGAGTTTTCAATCAGAAACGATGTGTATGCAAGTTTCATTAAGATTTTCTGTTATAGTATCTCTGAAAAAATAGAACTCTAGAAAAGCCAAGTCTTCAGATTTTAATCGAAAACTTTTTGTACACATCTTAGTCGTATAGAAGAAACTAGACTAAAGAAAATAAGACATTTCTCAGCTCTTCACGATATTCTTAAATTAAACTGGATTCAGTCATTATCCGGAAAATGTCAGCTCGTCAAAACCAACAAAATGAATAGGAAAACAACAGAAAATGACTTTGGGATCTTTCGTATGATGAATGAATCAAGTTTAATATAAGAATATCGTGCACAGTGGACATATAGGCGAACATTCAGTGGAAAATCGAAACTAAGCTTTTCTGTTATTTGCAATAGTTTCAAATAAACTTCGTTAATTATGGCATAAAAATTTTTGTTCTACGACTTTTCCTTATGGAAATATTCGATAAAGAAAAAAATACTAAAATAAGGAAAACGCTAGAAAAACGGAAGTGAACGGTATAATCGCATCGCCAGATTAAGCTAAAGTTTGAACGAACTTATTTCTACGTCAAAATGTTCGTCTTGAATTCTTGTTACATGCAAAAAGATGCGCATATTATCCTATAGGAAGTTATCGATTTTCTAAAAGTTTCGTACGTAAAGTCTAATTTTTTCCACTCAGGAGCATTTTTATTAAAAGTCAAGGCGATATTTAGAATCAGCACATTAAACTGCATTGAATGGCACTATTATTTTGTGGAGAAAAAAATTTTCTTCTAAATTTTCATCCTCAGGTGGAAACAAATTTGTTTTTTGAAAATCACTTTTTTCGTATCTAACCGCTCGTTAGACTTATGAGTAGCAATAATAGAGATGAAAAAAAGGTTATGTCCGCCTGCCTTAGCGACTTAATGCCCACTGTATCGTGTAGAGCTGAGAGACGTCTCATTTTCTTTCGTCAAGTTTCTTCTATACGACTGATGTGTACAAAAAACTTTGGATTAAATCTGAAGACTCGGCTTCCTAAAGTTCTATTTTTCCAGAGATGCCGTATCAGAAAATCTTAATGAAACTTGCATACACATTTCTTCTGACGGAAAACTCTAACAGTTGTTAAAATCATTTTTCGAATTTGTTCTGACTATGATGACGATCGAACAAAAAACATTACAAACAAATTGTTTCTATAATTCTACACAGAACTATATACCACTTGATAAAACATCAAAATATTTCTGTTTAGAATCATCATCAATGTCGAAAATGTTGATTGTTTCCAATGATACAATGAATTCATATGCCAACGGTTATTTAGCATCGTGTGAATCAAATTCATTATCACTGACAGTTGATAAAATCACGTCAACATCAGCCACGGTCTATGCTAGTCTATCATTTGGTGACTCTAAAGCGTTATCAACCGCATTTTCAGATTTACGTCGTCCATTTTTCTCTGTCTATTATAAACCAACTAGGAATTATCAAAATGAAACACATTTTGATGCTAGTTCATTATGTAGTAAAAATCCTGAAAATAAAAAATGGTTTAAAAAAGTGGAAAAAATTAATTATGATCCATCGTCTGAGAAAACATCAATATCTCTAACACATTTACAATTATTAAACTTGGGTAAGTGGCGGCATTTTCAAACTAAATTTGATAAGTTCAATTTTCATTAGATAATAACACGTTTTTTTCAATTGAGTATCTAAAAACAATTTGACTTTCTTTCTATTTTCACTTTATCCTCACAACTTCCATCTGTCTTATTAGATGGTGATCAATTGTATGCTGCTTACGGTTCGGTAACGTCAAATATTCATATGATCGGTATGTTTAGTCCAATTATTTATTTTAAAACGTCTAAACGACAACCAGACTCCATTGTGAATTTACGTGGTTATTCAACATCAAAAACTACAATTGAACTCCAATGGAATCCACCATTAAAAACACATGGTCAAATTGAATATTATCTCATATATTATGGTCACATCTACGATAAATTACCCATTAAAAATTCAAAAATGTGCGCAACATTAGGTAATAATATTTGACTATTGATTCTGACACTACAGTTAATTTTAAATTTTATTTTTGTTTAGATGTTTGGCATTATGTTCAACCTAGTGTGTCTGATCATCCATCATTGAATTCATCACAAAAAAATCTTCCACAACAACAACAACAACAACAACAACAATGTCCTGATGTTAATTCACAACGTCATGATAATGAATACGATTCGGATCTAGAAGATTTAGCCATTCTTGAACATCAACTTATAAATAGTGTTGCACAGCGTAAAGAAAAAATTCCTGTACCAAAACAATTGAATGAAAAAATAGCCGATACGCTTGATGAATATTTTCAATCGTATGAAAGTAGTGGTACAGGAAATGAAAAATCACAACCATCGAAAAAATTTCAACAACAATCAGGCGATGATATTGACATAAAAAAAGATGAAGATCAACAACAAACAACGACGTCACCTAAAGATTATCTAGTGTCTCCTTCATATTATGATGAAATGATTCTAAGGTAGGCGATTATTATCATTGTCTACTTGAGCGTTTAAAGTGTCTATATTTTAATAGTGAAATTGAACATATGCCACAAGTAATAGCCAATAATTTAACAGTATTTGCCTCTCAAACATCTAACAATCCACAAACGATTAAAGCAACAATAACAAATTTAAAACATGCACAAATGTACATGTTTCAAGTAGGTTCTTGAGAATAGAAAAGATTTTAAATCATATTTAATCGCCCCTTCCTATAGGTTTATGCATGTCAAAGTACAGAAAATGCTACACTATCTGAAGCATGTAGTACAATGGGCATTATAATTACTGTTCGAACACAGCCAGCAGAAAGTATGATCAAAACTGTTTTTATTCAAAACAAATCATTTCTATCTTAAGTTTTTGTAAAAAATACGTCGTTTCTAATTGTTCTAAAAGAAAATTGAGATAAATTCCTCAATATGATAGTCATTAAATTTGATTAATCTTCATCTAGTTTACACAACTTAATTTCAAATTATCATTTTTAATTCTTATTTGTCTCTTTGTATTCTAGAGGAATTAGATTTGGTTCGTAATTTTAGCGTCACTTACATTTCTACTGGTCGTTTAACTTCGGATACAAAAACACTTTTGTACAAAGTTCAATGGTTACCACCTCTTGATCCAAATGGTCTTATCTATTTTTATACTTTACACATTCTTCATGGCGATTCAAAATCAAAAGATGAACGATGTTTAGAAGCAAATCGAACATCATATACATTAGAACTTCTACCTCAAACAAAATATGAAATTCGATTGATTACAGAAACTATCACGTTACTTAATAGACAATATCAAGGACAAGGAAATGAAACACAACAAATAGCACCATATGTTAGTTTAATTATTACAACACAAGCATTACCAAGTATATATTTACAATATGAAACTAGAAGAAAAATTATATAAAAATATTGAATTTTTATTATTTTAGGTATACAAATGATGAAACAATTAATTCGTAATAAACCGTTACTTATTGGTCTCATATTGGGTTCAATATTCATCTTTGTATTAATTATATTAGCCATATCCATGTATTATAAATATACAAAAATAGATGAAAATTCATTTATATCTAAAAATCCAAATTATGGTACGTTCACTTATGTTTTATATAAATTCGTTATTGAATATAAAATGTTGTTTATTTATTTATTTATTTATTTATTTTAGAGTTATATGTACCAGATAAATGGGAAATTGAAAAAGATGCTGTTGTTTTACAAAAACAAATTGGACAAGGTCATTTTGGAATGGTTTATCAGGGTGAATTACGTTTGGCAAATGGACAAATTAAAAAATGTGCTGTCAAAGTAAATTAAAAAATATACTATACATCTTCTATTAACTATTAAATTTTTTTTTGTGTTTGACTAGCTTCGAACAACGCATCCCACCGATCTTTTACAAGAAGCATCCATTATGAAGTATGTTATTTATCTTCTATTTTGTTCGTTTTGTTGAAAAACTTAAAGTCCCTCCGTCAGAAACATAAATTTTTTTTATAAAAAGTCGATATTGAGTTAAGCATGTCATCAGATAGCCCACAGTATTTTACTATCAGGATCCAATGTTATTTGGTCCTCATCGAGGGTTATGGAGATCTTTAGAAAAGTTTTCTGAAAATCTTGAAAAGCTGACTTTTTGAAAAAGTTTTACTTTCCGATTGAAAGTAAATCGAAAACTATTTTTAGTAACACCAGGAAATAGAGCAAACATTTCTGATGAAAATGAGATATCTTCCAGCTCTGAATGATGTTCTAATCAAGATTTATGAAAGTTTTGCTGAAAGCTCTAAAACTTGCATCAGATACTGGCGCCACCATATCTTGACAGCGACTTTCACCTTAACATCATTTTGTAGCTTCAAGACTTCTCGGTAACAAAACATCGCAGAGAGTTCGGGAAGGTCTTAAATTAAAGCTGACACATGTGGTTAGAGGCTAATAGAGCCCGATTTTTGATATTTGATCTCGATTTGTGATTAGAAAAACATCCTTACCAAAGTTAACGAGACTTTTTCGAATTTTGGACTTTTGACGCTCACTATTAATTTGAAAAGAGAAATATCAAAAATCCGACTCTATTAGCCTCTAGCCACATGTGTTTTCGTCAATTTAAGACTAGCCCGAGCTCTCCACAACGTTTCGCTACTGAGAAATCTTGGAACTACGAACAACCCCATTTTTCGAATAAAAGTATTTTAAAATAAATAAATAATTTGTTTATATTTAGACAATTTCAATGTCATCATGTTATTCAATTGTATGGCATCTGTAGTCGTATTCGTCCACCGTATGTTGTCATGGAACTTATGGAAAATGGTGATTTAAAATCATATTTATATAAACATCGACAATCTGAATTAAATGTATGTCTTCTTTTTCTTGATTAATATTCTTGATTACATTCTTCACTTTTCTCATAGCCAAATGGTTCAAAATTATCATTTGAGTCCATGATTCAAATGGCTGCTGATATTGCCGATGGCATGTATTATTTATCTGGTCTAAAATTTGTTCATCGAGATTTAGCTGCAAGAAATTGTTTAGTGAATGCCGATGAAACATGTAAAGTGGGAGGTAAATATAATCGATAAATAAAATTTTTTTTTCTATATAATTAGTTTTTGTTTAATTAGATTTTGGTCTTGCACGTGATATTTATGAGACAGATTATTATCGTCGTGGTGGTCGAAGTTTTCTACCTATTCGTTGGATGGCACCCGAAAGTTTAAGAGATGGTAGATTCGATACCATATCTGATGTTTGGTAGGTGATTATCATTATCTACTATAACTGTCTATATATGCCATTTTTTCTAGGTCCTATGGTGTTCTTTTATGGGAAATTGCTACTCTAGCTGAACAACCGTATCAAGGTTTTGCTAATGAAGAAGTTGTTCACTATGTAAGATATGGAAATATAACATTAGAAAAACCACAATCTTGTCCAGAAATATTGTACGTAAAAAAAAATTAAAATCAAATATAAAAAATATTTAGAATTTTATTGTTTTTTTTTTTCTATAGACATGAACTTATGCGTGATTGCTGGTGTTTTCAAACGCATGATCGTATAACATTTCGTGGTATTTTGGATAAACTTGTTCCTCATATAGTTGGTGAAAAAAAACAACTTGAATTTGAAATGAATTCTTATTATCATACACAACCTAAACAATCTCAAGAACAAGAATTACAAGCGACAAGTGAACAAACAGTAATTACAACATCGAGTACTAGTAATAATGATGATCAACAACAACTTTTACTAACACCAACTATTTCAAATAATCCAATTAATGATAATGATAGTTTAAGTTTGAGTGGAGTATCAGGAGTAGGAGGAATAGAAAAACAGGAAAATCAACCTTTTTTACTACAAGATGAGACGAATAAACATATTTCAAAAAAACTTTCATTTATTAATTCATTTATAAACTGATTAATATTGTCCGTTAATCAATATTTTTTTTTATAATAGAGGTTTGGATAGAGGAACTAGTCATTATATTTGTTTTTCTGTTTTTATCAGTCATGATGTATGTCTGCATTTTGCTCAAACAACACCATTTACTTCTAATTGTTTTAAATTGTTTTATTTTTTTCTTTTTATTTTATTAATAATAGAGTTCTATCGTAGACCGTAAATTCTTTATCTCACATACGACAAGATGGACATATATCTGACATACAAATTCTGCATGCCATAAGACGAATTTACGTTCTACGATAGAACTCGAATAGAATCTCATGTTGAACAGTAGCCGAATCAATGCTCATTTTTATTATTGTTATTCTAATTTTAATCTGCTGTTGTTTTTTTCCTATTATATTATTGTATAGTCTTTATTTTTCTATTGTGTTCGATGAATCGAAAGTAAAATAAGTCTTATTTTTGTTAACTATATTGCAATTATTCAGTTAATGAAATATTTGTTATAAAGTTATAACACCTTGTATATATCAAACTGATAGAGATTCATAGCGATTATTTGCATTATTTTTTTTTGTTGTTTTTTTGTTATTCAATAGTCTATGTTGTACTCTTAAAACATTATCAGAATGAATTCCGAACAACAGGTGACCTGTATCAACTAATTTCAACGAAAAAACAAACAAACAGAAGTTTATGTTTTAAAATCTATCATATTGTCTCTTGCTGTATTGAACTTTATGAAAGAAGCGAATGATTTTTCATAAAATTATCTCAGTATAATATATACAGTCACTCTATTTTATTCATAAATGAGTATTTATTTCTTCTCTATCTTAGTCGTATTTAACATTCCAAATTTTTTTCGTTGAAAATGATTTGCTTTCAAAATAGTTAAGTTTCTGTTTATCTTTTTACTACGTTTTGTGTCATACCGTTTATGAAGAGCAGCAATGAATCATTTATGTATCTAGGTATTATAACCACTCTCAGAGAGTTTCACATTTTGAATCTGAACGACGCTACTCTAACAAGATTTTTAGAGTAAAATATACTGAAAAATTTGTGATATAAAATTAGAGAATTAATCTCAAAATGTAGAACGTCATTTTTTAACGTTTCTGCTTAATTATATCCTTTATATTTATGCAAATTTATAGGTTTTTTTTAATTTGTTTTTAGATATTTGATCAGTGTTTTACCAATTTTATGTTCTTGTTCTCTTCTTTGTATCGTGTGAATGTGTTTCTATCTGACTGTAACAACAAATGATTCCATTGTTTAGTCTATTTTCTCAAATTAACACATTCCACGATTACAATACATGTATTTATCACAAAACGGCAACGATTATCGAGATAAATCAGAAGTTGTTGATAGATATGGTTTTTTTGTTACACCCGAAGAATTAAAGTAAACCTCTAATTACATATAAATAGGCATGCACCAGTTACAGTTAACTGTAAAACTGTAACTATCATAACTGTAGATAAATAATGTCTCTATTCTTAAAATGTATGCAAATCGTATAAGACTAACTCACTCTAGAATATTTACCTACAATTATGATAGTTACAGTTATTCTCGCTGGAAAACAAAAGCTGCAGTCGATTTTTTAGCTTTTTCGACATTATAAAAACACATTTTTTAAAAAATAATTATATATTCTGATAGTGCTTGAAATTTTCTATCATCCTATATATTTATGTCTTGTCTTGTATTTATCTGCTGAAAAATAATTTGAGTATAGCGAAGGTGCCCCAATTGAAAAGCATCAAAAAACTGCATTTTTTTGCTACTTTTTCAGTTTTTTCAACACCATCTGTTCTAAAAGATCTTTTTACAGACCATGAGAAAGAGCACATTCAGAAGTACAAAAAGAACTGATTTCTCACTTTTGAAACCCTTTTTGTACGGAAATAATAGCAAAAGAAAAAGGTTCAAGTAGAAAAAAATAACAGACATTCAAAGTTTTCATTTTTTTCGTCTTTTGTATGATCTGCGTAGTTTTCTTGATTGAAGCTCTAAAATTAAAGTTTAGGTATGGTTTTGTAGGCCATTTCGCGGCACATGTTTTTAAAAGAAACATTAACCTTTGGGTCCTAAAGAAACACGAGAAAAATAGAAAATATTGAGAGGCCACACCCCTTACAATTTCTGGGAAGCTCATTGCCCTCAATGTATTTTTCAACAAATAAATGCAAGACAAGACATAAATATATAGGGTGATAGAGAACTCCGAGTGCTATCAGATAGTATAATTATTTTTTCCAAAATGTGATTTTATAATGTCGAAAAAGCTAAAAAATCGACTGCAGCTTTTGTTTTCTAGGAGAATATCAGCAATTTTACAAGTACAGTTAACTGGTAAAAACTGTAACGGGTGCATACTTACATATAAAAGTCTGTATATTCTAATATATATTTTATTTACTTAGTTCTGAAGAGCCAATTGATCGTACTGTACTTCGTCGTCGTGAACAAAAATGGTTGGATATGTTTTCATCATGGGACATTTATATTAGAGATAAATTTGATAAATTAAAACAACGTTGTCGTAAAGGTATTCCGCCAGCATTACGTGGACGAGCATGGTTTTATTTATCATCAGCTGAATTTCGTCGAAAACGTGCCGAACAAGAATTTAATTTTGAAATAAAAAATGTATTTGGACTTTATTCAACAAAATTACCAACTGCCAATGTTCTCTATGATATTGAAAAAGATTTGGCACGATCATTTCCTGATCATGAAATGTTTCGTGGGGATGGATTTGGGTAAGATCCATTAATTTATTTTTATGTATAATTAATAGTTTTTTCATTATTTTTTTATTTAGTCAAAAAGGTTTATTTGATGTATTGAAAGCCTATGCTGTTCATGATCCAGTTGTTGGATATTGTCAAGCTCAGGCACCCATTGCTGGTATTCTCTTAATGCATTTACCCGCTGAAGATGCTTTTTGGGTATTTGTACAAATAAATGAAGAATACATCAAAGGATATTTTAGCGATGGATTGGTATGTACACTTTTTAGAAGATTATAAACAATTTTATGATTACTATAAGAAATAATATTTACAACTAATAAAAAGTTTGCTATAAAATTCAAAACAGATAAGTAGTCTATTGTGATTCTAGTCGATCTTATTATTCTAGTGGAACGATGTTGATTTATTGAGTTCTTTTATTGTAATTTCCTTACATTTTATATTTGTTACACATTTATTTATGTTTTAGATTGCTATCAAAGAAGATGCATTAGCAACAGAAATTCTTGTTCAGCGTGTATGTCCAAAGGGTTATCATATCCTGGTATGTATGTTTTCTCATATTGTCAAAATTCGCAAGAAATGGATGATTAATTGTGTATTTAATGATGGTTTTAGTAAAAATTATCAATTAATCCAAATTTTTTGACGATTTTTTTATGACTAATCATAGGATTAATTGTAAAAAAATTAACTGATTTTTGCGACACCCATTGACTATGTTTTCTTTTTGTCTGAAATGTTAACGCAATTTTATTTTCTAGAAAAAATTAGAGGTTGATCCCATTTTGTATACCCTGGATTGGTATATGACATTGTTTACACGAACATACAGAGCACCAAGAATACATCGAATTTGGGACATGTTTTTTTGTGAAGGTAAGATACATGTTGAGCAGACCCCAAAATGAATCATTGAATGATTCAGCATTCGACTCGATTTGAATCGGCTTCCAGTCGAATCGAATTAAACACACTTGATTTTTGTCTCTAATATTGCTCAAGGTTAGACCATCAACAGAGAGGTGTCATAATCTCAATAAAGTCAGTATTTCCAGACAAACAAGGGAATAACGATGAAAGGCAATTGCTGGTACAAATTTTATGAACATTCCTATTACCAGTGACAGTAAAACTGGAAAGTATTACTGTTACTGGTAATATAAATATTTACAATATTTGGATTACTCGTAAAAGGAACAGTAATGTGCCATCTGTAGTCAAAAGCAAAGATTGAAAAAAGTGGACTCATTAAATGATATATTCCTCGATAATTTCAGAATAATATTTGATTCAGAAAGTCGGAAGACGAGTATCAGCGAAAAGAAAAATTGACTAAGCTTGAAATTCATCCATTCATGACAAGAAGAATGCGTGAAATGTTTTCGCTTACTTACTCTGATTCGCAACCTCCTTCCTTGATGACTGGAGATAAAAGAACGTAGAAAATAACAAATTATATTGTTGATTCACGAGATAGTGATATTCTGTTATCGATAATTTCTCGGCGTTAGGGGACACGCAAAAGGATCTTCACATCGATTTTTATCATTGAAGCGGGCGAAAAAAATACCCTATAATGTACACTAGCTTTTTCTTTATCTTTTTACTTGTCCTAATAATGTCTTTTGAAAAGAGATAAAAGCTCGAACCTTATCTCATCAATGATTTCTTTTAGAAATCAAATGTGATTGTTTTCATAGCAGTTAAATAGTAATTTTTACTTATAAAGTGTGCCCGGACACAACGGGCAGGTTCCCTGGCTACGGATCTGTATCTCGATCGAGATATAAAACACAAAGTTCATTCTGTCGTACAAAACGATTAAGGAACAATGTCAACGTTATGGAAAAAAATTGATCTCATCATTAGAAAGAGCTCGTAAAACTACACATGATTCTTTTGTGATGCGCAGACAATATATAAGGGCTCGTACTGTGTTTTTAATGAGAAATTTTTCAACCATTCATTCGTGTAGATAAACTGCTTTATGCTTTTAATAAGTGAATCATAACCTACTGTATTTTGTGAACATTTTTCAAAAATGCCAAAAGAGCCAACCGTTGTGGCATTCTACTCATGTTAGGGATGTGCGGTAACCGCACAGAGATCAAAGAGACACATATTAGACACATAACATGAGTCATGTTATGTTTGAATATTCTGCTCTTATATAATTCAAATTTGTGATCTTCTGATAAATGAAAAATTTTAAGTTTTAATATTCCCATCGAGATATAGATTTTCTTGAAACTCGAATCGCAATATTGAATTATATCCTAATCGGGATATAATTTTGAAACTATACCCAGTACGGGATATAGAAAAAAACTTTTGATGTAAAAAAAGAACTTCAACGATTAAGTTGCTGATTAAAATGCAGACAAACAAAAAAAGCCCTAAATATTCATTGTCAGCTCAAAGCTACAGAAAATAAGAAGAAATTAATTTAGGACTTGTCTTGTAAACTCTATAACTTTGAAAAGAAAGGTCGTGTAGAGCTTGAAGGCGTCTCATTTTAATCAGAAATTTGCGGGCTACAATCATGCCTCATTAAGAAAGTTTTTGGTTATATTTTAGCGTTTCTAAAAAACTGGTTTTTCAAGAGTCATGGGTCCGAATCTTTTTAGGGTATTTACTACCTCACTGCGGTCTATCGATCCATGTACAAGTCATTGAAATCGGAACGGGGCATCTCGGGAGGTTCCCCCGTGAGTCGAATCAAATTCGCTTTTCTCGATTTGTTTCGAATTCTCGTGTCAAACACATTTAGTATTTTGACTATTTTCATTTGTACATGTTCTGATGTTTGTTTTAGGTGTCAAAATATTATTTCGTATTGCATTAGTTATACTAAAAGATTCATTAGAATCAAGTGAAGCTGAAAAATGTGATAATGCAATTGATTTAGTGTCTTTAATTAAATATAATGCCAAACAATTCACAATTGATCAACTCTTAATTAAAATGGATCAGTTGAAATTAAATGATTACGATTTGGCTGATGCGTGTAGACTAGCACGATTACAATTACATAATGGACAAAAAAATGGACAATCTACGCAACATCAACGAGAAGTGGGAGCGAAACGAATTTTAGTAGGAGGATAAAACAACTCATCACCTGTCACATCATCTATTAATTATTCAACTAAAGAAAAATATTGTTGAAATGAATATGAAAGTCACTCATTTATGTTGTTGAAACAACTAGCGCATCGTCAAAGAAAAGCTCTACAAATTTCACCGTGATAGATGAGTGATCTCCCTAAAATTGTTGTGCTTTTATAACAGTCAGTCTTCTGTAATTTGTATTAATTCATACCAAAGTTTTTTGACAGACAAAAAAAATATTAGATTTTCGTCGTTTTTTTTTTAGATATGCGCATTTATTCTCACTGCTTTTTCTCTCACCGTGCCTTTCTAGCCAATTTGCTCAACGAATTGTCGTGAATAGACGCTAGTTCTTACACGACATTTCAATTTATTCCTAATTTTGCACCCGTCAGTTATTTATTTGAGTATGTGATTTCTTTTGTTTTTGATTCTGTGAATGTTTTTTGCTAAAAGAAAACGAAACTTAGTTTTAATTCGATGACAAATGTTCACTTTGTTTTTTGTATATAAAAATAACTCTCTTTCTCTCTTAATTAACCATCATTCGAGTGTGTTTTTCGTTTTTTTTTCTGCGACTACTATTGTTATTGTCATATTTTTTGACATTAAATTCAATAAAAAAGATTTTTAATACGGAAAAACACGTGTGTGTACATAAGAAGTCATGACGATTAGAAGTAAACGAGTCATGGAAGAACTTTTGGAAAATTATAACATGTTTTTATACCAGGGTGGCCAGATGAAAAAATTCAAAATCAGAAAAAAAATTGGAAAATCAGAAAATTTCCCTATCAAAATCAGAAAAAAATCAGAAAGTGGATTTAATGCGGCAACTAGACAAACATGTTTCGTTCAACATATAATTTATCAGTCCTTTTATTGAACTGTATTATCGTTTTATGTAGATAGATATCATGTGGATAATATCGTATCAATAGTAATAATTCGGGCATTCATATGAGAACGAACTAGCACGTTTGAAACAGAAGAAATGAAAATCAGAAACCAGAAAGCCATCAGAAAAAGTGTTCAAAATCAGAAAATTTCTGAAAAATCAGAAGATCTGGCCAGTCTGTTTTATACACATCGCACAGTGTGCATTCAGGCGGACTTTTGCTGAAAAATTGAAAATGCACTTTTCGGTGATTTAAATAGTGATTTATATACTTTGGACCACGCTCTATTCGATGACGAAAATTTTTTTTTCTTAGGGCATACTTATGTATGAAAGCTCATATAGACAAAAATTACGCTAAACAAGTGGCACTGTCGGAAAACTGAATTAAACGCAAAAGTAAGGTAAGCGGTCAAACAAACAAATATATATCGTTAATCTTTGTCAAGTTCTCTATCGATTGCTAAAAAAATTTCTAGTTTAGGAGTTTTCAAGATGGAACAGAGTTATTGTGCATTTTATTAGCGAGTTTCCAAAGCGGTGCATCCAGTAAAGTACATGCGCGAAGAAAAGCGAAACTCCAATTTAGATGAAACTTTCAGGACATGTGAGCTATATAGGACGTGTGCACACAGTTAGCGAAAAGTTTCCTGTCCTGAGTTGTACGTTTTCCAAAAATCACTAGTTTTTGAAGGTATTTTCCATTTTTCTCGCTCCAGAAGTGTTTTTATTCAATAAAAATGACATATTCAGAATCAGCGCAAGAAACTGCATCGAATGATGTACGATTAGTAAGTTTTTCTGACCAAAAACTTGTTGGATCTAACAAAACGCTAAAGTCGAAGCATAGCTTAACAATTTTGGCTAAGGATTTTCATATTTGCTATAGAAGCAGTCCGAAAGTCTATAAACACTATTTTTATAGGTTTTCAGATATGCTCTTTCCAATGATGCGCTTTATAAAGTTCCAGAATACTTATGTGTGGGTTTTCTAAAGATCCGATCTCTGGAGAACTCAGATGAAAGCCTCTTTGAACTTCGTAAAACACACCATTGGAAAGAGCATATCTGAAAACCTATAAAAAAAGTGTTTATAGACTTTCGAACTGCTTCTATAGCAAATGTTCGTCTGGCCTATGGAAAAATGCACACTGTGCATCGAGCACATAAGTTTTCTGATGAAGTTTTAGTTTGAAAGCGATATGTGAATGTATAATCGGGTGCGTCATAATGAATGAGCCTCTCAGTATTTTCTGTTTTTCACGTGTTCTTTTAGGATTCTAAGATTAGTGTTTTTTTTTAAACGATGCGCCTCGAAATACTCCACAAAACCATACTTAAACTTTAGTTTCAGAACTTCAATGAGGAAAACTACGTAAATTATACGACAAACGGAAAAAAATGAAAAGTTTGAATTCAGTATTTTTTTTCGACTTGAACTTTGTCCTTCTGCTATTATTTGCGTAAAAAGATGTAGCAAAAGTGAGAAGTCAGTTCTTTTTGTACTTTTGAATGTGCTCTTTCGCGTGGTATGTAAAAAATCTTTTAAGCGCAGATGGTATGCTGAAGAACGAAGTTTCAAAAATATGTCAGAAATTGACAATCCCCTGTTTCCATCAGTATGCTCAAGCAAGAAACGGAAAACATGATCGAAATTTGGATTTTTCAGAGAAGAGCAATCATTTCTGATCAAAGCAAACCCGATCAAAAAATGTTTTATTTTAATGGAGTTATGGGAGTTTTACTGACAGTGCCAGGCTAAATCTATATGAAACCTACCACGATATATAAAAGTGTTGGCGCCAGTGGTATACACAAAAAGCACAGAAAAGAAAGCACAATAAGCCGAAACAGAACAAAATCGAATATCTTTATTACACAAAACAAAATGTTGTTTGGTTACTCACTCTCATACTACCGCCGCTCCCCTCATCTGACCATGTAGGTCCAACTCCACTTAACACTGTTGTCCTTTTAGTCTGCTATATCGTTTCTATGAATTGTACTCTTTATCCTTAATGTCCTACACTGTAAAGTCGGAAATTAATTTTCAAAAATCCATATACGAAACCCTCACGGGCTTTCCAGATTATAGAAACTCGAATTTTCAAGAATGTAGAAAATTGATTTTCTAGATTGTTGGGAATTAATTATAGAAAGGATTTTCATCGATTTTCTGACAAATGAGAAAAGTCAATTCATAGAGTTAATATAAAGTAGAAAATCAACATTTCCTAAAACATCAGAAAATCGCTCAGAATTTTTTAAAAGTTAGAAAATCCTTGGCGATTTCCACGATCGATTTTCTATAAAATAGAAAATAATTTCAGATTACAGTGTACAAGTCCATATTTTCATGCTCAGCTTGCTGCAACTATCCACTTACAGACGAAGTTTCGATTTTCAGCAACTACAACCTTAGCACAGTATCTGCTTTGCTATAAAGAGAGATAAAATTCTATACACATATATACGAGCTCATAAGAAAAATATATGAGACAGAAGAAAACTAAGATCAAATGAAAGAAAAGTGGACGTAGTATATTTGATGTCTACAGGTGAATGTAGTGTGGTATACCGTGAAACCTAAAGCGGAAGCCCCAAGGATCCAAAGAATATCAGGATTCCTTATAACATCTTTCAACGCGCCGACTACGAATATGTAAAAATCGCGAGATCACTTCGCTAGAAAAAGCCATCAAATTTTGATATGGTACACTTTCCTGAAAAGACAGAGAATCAGAAAACTACGCTTATTTCGGAAGGAAGCGAAGGGCAAGAACATCGAGCAATAGGAGGAAATGCTTTTCAGAGGAAATAACCGTAATTTCGCAGGTACACATGTGTTTGCTTAGAAAATTTTATGGGTAGATCTATTGGCACCACCCGACGGTGTCGATTAGAGCTATTGGCACCATCGATAAAGCCGCCGCTTTCAGATATTAAAAATATGTAATTGAAACTTGTGCTTCCTTCGTTTCAGTAGCCAAATTCCGACGTACGTATAGCTTGGATCAGAATCACACGATCTGAAACTGGATAGTAATTCGGCTATGAACCCTTATCAAAGTTCCCAGCTGAAGAGCCCGAGCAGTGAGCAAAACTGCATGAAGATAAATAGCCGAAAAACCGATAACAAGTCCTTTAGAAGCACTTAGCAAACTTTTAAAGGACAAGTCAGAACGGTAAACAATAAATGCAAGCTTCTTAAAGGCTTAGAAAATCTTTAAATTAATTAACCTAAAGCCTTTAAACTCACAGGAAGAGATGGTGAAGAGAAATCACTTTTTTCTCGCTTCGAATTCTCGCGAAAAAAGCAGTGGAAATCGATGTCATCTCCTAGCATAAGATTTTACCTAATGATGTCAATAGCTCTAATATAATGATGCATTAAAATCATCGACATTTCAAAATATCGATAATATTGTTGTCGTGCCAATCGATCTCACTCGATATGTCATCAAACAAGATGATCTTCATCCAAACGATTTGGAGTGGATCATATAGCAAGTAAACTGAAACTAATCGTATGGGAAGAAGGCTCTCTTCCATTAGTTTCATTCACTTCCCTCAAATGTATGCTTCATAATTATAATAGAATAAATTAAAATGGGATCATTCAGCTGCAACAAATACAATTTCGAGGTCTCATCTGTTCCGTGATCATAAGCGGTTGACGTAAAATCAAACATTAAAGCCTTAGGGACTTAAAGTGTTAAGAAATATCTGTGCGAGTTATTGTGAAGAGACTGTTTTTTCCATTGTATAAAATACTGTTCAAAGTACAATTGAAATATTTGGTTAGAAAAAACAATTTATTGTTAGTGAATATTTTTAGATAAGATGTAACTAAATATAGTTGTTTATTTCTATTTTTTTTATGTTGACCTTTATTTCCGTTATAAAAATATGTTCTGTTCTTAGTGACAAATCATTCGTTTTAATCCATAGAAATAGATAAACAAGGGTAAGATAACTACATAGTTTTAACATCCGTCAATAAGAAGAGACATTAAATTCGCATGACATAAGTGTACTTTTGAATAGATTCAAAATGAATGAAAATAATTTTCCTCATTGCTTAACATAAATAAAAATT